CCAAAATATATCAAACGATCAACGTATCTGTCTATTCTGTACGAACAATGAAGTTGAAACAGAAATACATATGTTGTGTAACTGTTCTCTTTATATTCCTCTGCTCTGCTCTGCTCTGCTCTGCTCTGCTCTGCTCTGCTCTGCTCTGCTCTCGGATACCTTCTCTTTACCTATATTTTTAAATATGTTATTTTACATATAGATATAGATATATAGATATTTTTCTTAGTACAATGTGTTTGTAAAATATAACAACAAAAAAAAGCTTTTAATGTTCAATGCTTTAGCAATACCTGTAAATTGTAGGTCATGCCAATAAAGCTATTTCAAACCTCTTCTCTCCTTTCCTCTCCTCTCCTCTCAAAAATTGTTTCCCTTTGTCATCCTTACTGCTTCACAAAAACAAAAACAAGAAAAAAAAACTTAGACATGCTTCAATGTGATGGGGGGAGGGGGGCCACATATGGTCCTTTTTCTTGTCAGTAACTTGACTAGTCCAAACTGACATCCCTTTCTGATTATTGTTTTATATTTTCAGGGGAAGAAAAGCAAATTGTATATTATATGGAATTCTTTATGGATTAGACTGTCTTACAAAGGTGAGACTGCAGGCTAGATCTGGTGCTTTAATTTGTTATTTACTTGTCTAGATTTAAATATCGTTCGTTTATGAATACAAACCTTGAGCTGCAGAGTATATTTATTTTTGCTCTGATGTTTTCTGTTTTGATAGGAAATAGAATGAAACAGAACCCAGATTTTGTAATAAGTTTTGAAATAATAGGTTGGAGAAGATCATGGTAGTTTAAGCCAGAGTGTTTTGCTCAGTTAATTTATTACCAGAGCATATATCCTCTGATCTCTGACCCTTAATTAAAACCATCTCTGGAGCCCAGGTTAATGAAGGTGTACATATTCAGGTGTCAGAAACAACAGCTGCGGCAAGAGGGTCACTTTTATTAGTATTTGCTCATGACTCATATGCCGCAGAAACTTATCCATATCCATATTATTATTCATGGTCCATTTTGTGTAGCATATTCCTTACATCCTTGAGTCAGGCATATATGTTTTAATAAGACGTTGCTGGACCTCCATCTTGCCTCCAATACCAATCAATACATTTTTATTAATTTTAGCATGTTCCAAGCTTCTGGGTGCTTATGATAGGCCGTTTGCTGGGTGGCATCGCAACGTCTATACTCTTCAGTGCATTTGAATCATGGCTTGTATGTGAGCACAGCAAGGTAATGACTAAAACTTTTTAGCATTTTATGTCATGTTTTAAAAAATGAGTGCCATGTTGTATAAACTACTTACAATAAGAGCCAGAGGTGAGTGATTGTAAATCTGATACAATATGGACCTACATGTTGTACTAAACTACTAAGTACAACTAAATATGTCTTGTTCACCATTTGGGTACATAATTATTTCATTTGGCATTGGAATTTCAAAGATTTAGATATTTTGTTGAAAAAATTAGTTATTGTGCAAATAAACAGGATTTTGTGTTTCCTTTATGAAGTATTAATGAGTTGAATATTAAGAAGTCATACCTCAATAATTATAATAGTCATTCTATCGATGAGCGTGAGCACTATGGAATACATAATATTATACAGTATATATAACTTAAGCCTGTTAATGAAACATTTGACTGCAGGCACAACAGTCTATTTGCAAAGTGGTAGAATTCATTTCGATATTTTTATCTTCTTTTTTCAAGATTGAAAAACCCTGATATTGGGAAGAAAGAGAGAGATTGAGAGAGTCAGAAAATAAAAATGCTGTAGAGTAAGCATTAAGCACATTATTTTACAAATCTGTCAATTGTTTCTTGCAGAGAGGCTTTAGCAAGGATTTACTCTCAGTGGTGTTTTCACATGCAGTTCTTGGTAATTCTGTCATTGCTATATTAGCAGGATTAGTGGCACAGGGTGTGGCCTCGCAGTTTGGTTTTGTGTGAGTATACATGAAAATATTAAAGCATGCATTGAAAATATATATATTTGACAGAACTATCCACCAACTTTCAACTGATGATTGGCCCAATAGATGGATGATTGTTAACTTACATGTGTTTGCTGGTCAAAACTAAGTACATCAACCTTCCTGTTAAGGGGCACTTCTGTAAGGTTTGCTCACCTACTACCACTTAACAGTAATTACAACACCATAGTTGGCACCCAACTCTCATTCGAGAGTGGAGTAAGGAAACTAGAGTATGTGAAGAAAAATGCCCCTGGCAATAATATAATAATATAATATGATTTATATAGCGCCTATACAAGTCGGCTCTAAGCGCTGTAAAATATATATAAATTATAATTCAAAAGCTAGTTTAAACAAATGAGTCTTAAGGTCTTTCTTAAAAGTTTTTAGACATGAAGTGTTTCTAAGAGGAGACGGTAGTGAATTCCATAGAACAGGAGCAGACACAGAAACGCAATGGGGAGAACCACACCTCAAACAAACTCAGTTGAGAATATAGATTATGTTGTGTATTTAATCATGCATCTTTTTGATCAACAGTGCTCCATTCACATTGTCCTTAATACTGCTGATACTGGTCAGTGGCTTGGTTTACCTGTTGTGGACTGAAAACTATGGTGACTCCTCTGGGAACTTTTATAAGTCATTTCTAAGTGGCATAAGTGCAATAAAGAATGGTAAGCTTGTATTTAAATATAATAATTTAGTTTCTCCTACCCACCCAATCTCCAAGAAGATTTTTGT